AGTATGTGTACGTTTAACGACATGGAGAGTCGCTAACACAGTCTTGTAGATAGGCAAATGACGCCTCATGTGCAACGGGTGAATGACGTCTTGCCTCACGTCAGGTTCATGCACTCTATACAGTACATGTTGCACACAAGGAGCCATTGCGGCTGCGTCATCATCTACGCTAATAAAGTCTGTGAACGCAAAAAGCGGACACGCCGATTAAAAGCGTTGTTTGCACTCTTCAGTTTGCGACCAATTTGTGTACATTACTCTTCTGGCGCGTAAAGGGCCGCGCCAATCATTGACACAAACCTACGTCAGGCAAATTACGTCCCGTGTGCAGCGAACATATACATTTTAATTTTTAATTCATAATTGAATGATTATTATTATCATTATTTTTGCAAGTATCAAGATATAATAATGATTAATAATTGAATGACTACCCTTCAATCATAGTATACTTTAATAACTAGTTTAGAGGTCTGCGTCTTTAAAGCTGCGGTGATTATTAAAGACATAATGGCCAAGTTGGTGAGCCTATTTTACAGCGCCAACTTAATAGAAATAGAAATATAGCCATCTTTAATATTTGTCCTTGCAAAATCACAGAACATAATTTATAATAAAAACACATTTTCCATTATTTTTTATCTAATATTTCTTAGGATTGAAGAAAATAGTAAGAATGAGAACTAGGGTAACGTATATTGGCTGTCCTTCTAATGAGCATGGGAGATCCTTTCCAACCTTTCGGGGAAATATAAGCGACGGATCATGGATTACGAAGGGGAGACCCAGGATTTTTCAATCCTAGGAGCTTAAAGGATCAAGAATTGACAATGATTGATAAGACGTTATGAGAGGAGAGAATAATACGGACTTGTGTGCTCACACGGTGGCTAATATTGGTGTTCGCATTCGAGTTTAAAAAATACAATTTTCAGGTTTCATAAATAAAAGTTAACAAAATTATACATAACATTGACCCGTGCATAATTCTTTCAAACATTATCGCCCATACGAATTTCAGCTATATCTGGCTTTAAAAGTTGAAGTACATGTACATCGAGTTCCCATTCAGGGCAGCAAACTGAATTACACTAGCGGGGGAAAAACAACATCGTAGACCACAAAATACTTGTCAATACTCTAGCAAGTCTGGGTATCCAGGACAAGCTCTCGAATGGTTTGAATCTCATCTTTCATGCCATTCACAGTCTTTACTTTCGAATGGTTTCACATCCTCCCCCAGGCCTGTTGGCTGTCGAGTACCTCAAGGCTCTGTGGGCGGGCCCACCTTATTTTCAATTTATCTACCTGGTCTCAGAAATGTTCTTCAACATCTCTCTGTTCACTATCATTTATATGCAGATGACATACAAATTTGTATTTCTTTTCCGCCGCTTCAAATCTTAGCTTCCCAAACCTTGCGCAATTTAGAAAACTGCATCGCTGATTTTGACGCCTTGATGAAGTCACATTCTTTGCTTTTAAACTACAGTAAATGCGAGTTCATTCTTTTCGGCTCAAAATCTCAGTTGAACAAACTACCTATAGACTTACTTTATATTTCCGGTAACATCATTCCTTTATCAAATTCATGTTGCAATCTTGACGTCATGCTTGATTCTCAAATATCTATGTCTAAACAAATCACCAGCATTTCCAGATCAGTTCGCTATCAATTACACAATATTGGCTTCATACGGAAATATTTGACTCGTTCGGCAACAGAAAAATTCGTTCACTCACCAATTTCTTCACGTTTGGATTTCAGCACAGTTACAAAAACTACAAAACGCAGCTGCACACATCATTTTTCTGTCAAGCAAACGTAGTCACATTACACCTATCTTACAAAATCTCCATTGGTTGTAAATCAACGTATAATCTACAAATCCTTCTTTTAGTTCATCACGTTATGAACAGAACAGCTCCTGAATACAACCAGTCTTTAGTTCACCTCTACCAACCCACACGTACCCTCCGAGCCTCCAACTCTGGTAGTTTACACATGTCGCTTTGAAAGAAATCTTGGGGAACGGCTTTTGCTCATGCCGGACCAACCCTGTAGAATTCACTTCCACAGGAGCTGAAGAAATTCCACAGGAGCTGAAGAACTCAAATTCTTCAACGTCTTTTATTATAAGAGTAATAACTTTTACTTATATAGCGCTTTTCATATGAGGTTTATATCGAAGCGCTTTACAATGTTGATGCAAGTAAAACTAAACAGAGTAATGACAAGAGAACAAATTCAAAGTGAAATTATCAAACATAAGATAACAAGGTAAGGTAACAATTTAATAACTACGTTGAATATTCCTTATCCATTAGGTAGGCTTTTAATTTTAATCTAAACAAAGTAATATCAGAGATGCAACGAATGGAGGCTGGAAGAGAATTCCACAAACGTGGAGCAGAGCATGAAAAGGATATATCACTAAAATATTTTGTTTTTGCTTTTTTAACGGTCAATAGATAAACCTTAAAGGGATAGTTGAGTTTTGTTGCAGAGGGGGCTACACACAATATTTTTCTGTGAGATAATGAAAATCTGAGTGTCAAATTTGAAAGAATATACAATTTAAATGATAAAATCATCCTTATTTGATCAAAATCGGTGCAGAGACCGCTGAATTGTCCATAAATATAACCATTTATAATATTTGTTGGGCACCACAAATATTTGGTAATTTTTAAACCAGCCGTTAAAAAACAAGATAGCGCCTTAGTTATACGTTCTATTCCAGCCGATGACAATATTGGTCTTTTTGGTTTGTTTTGGTGGCATTTTTGTGTTGGTTATAATACGCACAACCAGCCAGTCCGTGTATTGTTATTATTAATTTATTAATTAACTAACGGTCACTGTATTTTATTAAAAGTTGAGCTGAATTTGTTTGATCATTTCCCTAATATTCTGAAGCGCCTAGACTTTTAATTATAATGGATAACGACGCTAAATAAATCTCATGTATTATTATTATTATTAGTCCAATTCCATTAGATGCACAATAAGAATGGTGGCCTATTTGCCAGATTGCATCCATTATTCATAGTCAGACCTATACAAATGCACTTTTTTCAGGATTGTATCAATCATACTGATTGATATTTTTAATCTAATTAAGTTCAAGTTCAAGTTCCTTTATTTACACTCATCATTAAAAATACAAGAACATATACCTGTACAATTAAATACGGAATAATCACACATAAAATATCATACATTCAATAACAACAAAATAACATACATGTAACATAATGAGAGTGAAGGGGTGAGCTAAAAAGGAGTATGGTCCTTACGCTAGAGCCCATCCCTCAGTATAATATAAATAAAAGGCAAATTAAATGTTGTAGGATTGGAAGCATGACAAAAAGAGGGAAAACAAGGGGGGTAAAGAGCCTGGTGAGTTATAGCACGTAGGAATCAATTAAATACATTTTATATTTTCGTTTAAAAGTTTGAAGACTTTTGCAATTTCTTATATTTATTGGAATGGAATTCCAAATTTTTGGACCATCGAAAAATATTGACTTTTTCATTAAAGTTGTTTTAATTTGAGGTAAGTGGAAATTAGTTGCATTTCTAGTTTCATAATCATGAAAAGTCGAATTCAAATTAAAATACTTTAGAAGTGCACATGGTAAAGATTCATTTCGACACAAGTACATAAGGACTGCAATGTGATATTCACAGATATCAAATACATTGAGAAGCTTTAATTTATAAAATAAAGGTTTCGAATGAGCTCTGTAGTGTGAATTTGAAATTATCCGGATGGCTTTCTTTTGCATTTTGAGTATCCTATTCAGATTGGTTTGGCTTGTCATGCCCCATACTTCAGAACAGTAATATAAATGAGGAAGAATTAAAGTATTATATTACATTAACATTAACAATGAGAGGAAAATTATTTATAATCTACTATTTTGTATACGAGGCAATTGAAACCATCATTTGATAGCGCCTACGGCAAATGTTATTGATGTTACTGGTGTTGTCGTTTTTGTTGATGTTGCTGTTGCTGTGGTTGTTTATGTTACTTCTGTGTTGGTGTTAATAATACTGAACAGCGAATATATTGGTTGCGTTAAAACACAAAGAACATATATGTTGTATTTATTATTACATTTGACGGATTGATTTATACGTAAAAGTGTGACGTGAATAAAGAATGAAATTAATAAAGATTTTGATGATATTCAAAACCAATGAAGAAATTTAATTAACTGTTTTCCTTTCGCGTTCTCTCTCTCTCTCTCTCTCTCTCTCTTTCTCTCCCCTCCCTCTCTCTGTCTCTGTCTCTGTCTTTCTCTGGACCCTCCTATGTTATGATAACATGTGCATGCAGATATCCCCAAATCAAATTCACAGGACGATGGATGAGTATCTTAGATATAAGAATCGGCATTACAATAAAGGGTATTAGTTCGACCCTCCAACACGTGCCGTACAGAAATGGAAAGCTGTATCCAAAAAATGTCTATATTGTAATAAATTCACAAACTTTTGGAAAACGAACAACTAGCAATGTCCAAGTGATATATAACGTTATACAAGAATAACAAATACATTATTGTGAGCCAGATTTTTTGAAAATAACGAAAGTCTCAAAAAACATACACTTAGTTTCAATGTCCTAAAAATATAAAGGCTGACTCCTTGCTAGTGATGAGCCATTACAAAGATAGAGAGAGAGAGAGAGAGAGAGAGAGAGAGAGAAAGAGAGAGAGGGGGAGAGGGGGTGATTGAGTAACAGACAAAGGATGAGAAAAAGCGGGAGGGCAATACATTCTGGGTTAATACAGCGCTTTGTACATCAACGAAGTTTCAAAGTGACTTCGTGATAGATCGTCTATATCTGTCACATGTTACATTATCCGTTTTTATCAATGCTAAAACTATTAATTGATAAGCGTTTTAGATCACGAACGTTGCTCAAATAGGGGCACTAATGGAATAAATGAAATTCTGATGAAAATCAGAATCCTTTTAATCATACCGCTGCATGAGAATGCCGAGTGAATGTACTTTTTCTCACCTTGATGTAATCTAAAGCGAATGATGGATCCTCGTCGAAGAGCTCGTTTGCAACGATGGTGAAGTTGGCTGCTACCAGTCTGTCGCGGAGATTCTCCATAGTCTGTGTTCAGCAATATTGAATACATTACGTAATACATATAAAAGATAATAAATACACAAAAGAAGATCGCAAAAGATTAATGTGAAAAGCATTGTCCATCTCCTACTAAAATTTGCGAACGTTACACAAAGTATGACGTAATCCGAACATGGATTCTAGGCGATAACAAATAAAGTAGGCCATTCTGAAATGGCCCTAATTACATTGTAAGTTGATTTCTCGAAAGTCTTTATAATCGTGTTACAATTTAATATTCCATTTCAGAGATCATTAACCGAAGGATTTACAGCGTATTATGTAAAACAGTATACCATTTACGTATGATATATATATATATATATATATATATATATATATATATATATATAAGCAAGTTTAGTGAAACTACAATTTCTGACAGTGCTCAACTGTAGGAGCAAATGTAGATATAGGAGTTGGAAGGTTACACTTTATTGGTAAGAGTTATACAGACTGTTTCGCCAGAAGGCTCATCAGTAACTAAATACATAATACAATCATGGCGAAGTTGAAAGCACTCATGTGCAGTCAGGCAAGAATACAAAAGAGACACAAATAATACCCAAGTAAGGGCGAACGCAATAATACAATAGTGGAATTAAGTGGTTTAAGGGTAAGGGGAAAGGTCATGGTGGTACGGGGGGGGGGGGGGGGAGGGGTTTAACCATATTCAGAGAGTAGAAACTTTCTCTTCTGTTTACACGTGGAAATGAGTATATATATATATATATATATATATATATATATATATATATATATAACAGTTATGCCATGTGTCCTTTTTTAATTTACTGTAAGCCATCGTTAAAAATATTCTGAATCGTATATGAAAATGCAAGTATATTAAGCCAATTTCGAAATCCTTGTAGCTGAGGTAAACGTTATAAAATTTATAGAAGGTTGTTTCAATTCTACGAATGATCATATCTATCTACATCTACAATAATTGACGAAAATGATTTCATGAGTAGTACATGGCCATTATTCTGAGCTGAATTACTATCACGGTCAAAGTATATAAAATAATTACAACTTGCAGTCACAATCAGAGCGAGGTCTTAATTGCGATTTATTAAAGCAGGTAGATGATCACGATCAAGGTGTTAATATTGAATGAAATTGATATGATCATTTCAGGTTTAAAGTCAATTACACTGGAAACTTTAAATAGAGATTTAGTGTGAGCCAAAGGAGCCACCTATATACCCCGTCCCCTTTCTGTCCAGTAAAAGGGAAAACTGTCCAGATTTTCTTTTTTTTGAGGGGGGGGGGGGGGGAATCCGCTTCTGGAAAAAATAAGCCTCTCCCAATTCATGTCAATCATGGACTCGCCCATAAAACCCTGCAGAATCAACGTTAATGAGACTTACCGCAGTAAACAAGATGTTACTGTGACGTATGATTGCGACGCGGTTCCAGCCGAACTTGTCGAGGAGAAGTAAACGCGGAACGTTTTGCTGAGCGGCGGACTGCGGTATACGATAGAAGGAGGGGCACTTCACACGATCGCTCAAGAGAGGAGAGGCAGCCCCGAAAGATATCTTTGAGGAAGTAACAAAACAAAATTCATGAAAAGTAACAAATTATTTTGCGTTTTTGGTAAGGTTTGTATTTCGAGGGATTAAAGTTTGAGTACAAGTCAGATCTGTTTATTTTGTAGTAGACAGCGGTATTTGGAACAATCGAAATAATCACAAACTATCATACGAAAATTGTGAGAAGCCTGCATACAATTGTATGAGTGTACTTGTTAATAATACTATGTTTCCTTATAACCTTTTTTTTAACCATTGTACTCCTTTGTGTTCCTGGCAATGAAATAAAATAACTGTAAAATAGAATAAACTCGTAAGCCGAATGAACCTGCGCTTGTAATGTAACATCTTTAATTTATTTAATTTTCTTTCTTTCCATTCCATTTATTCAACCAGTAAGAAAAATGAAACGTACTCTATTGCAAGCATTTCAAAATTAACATTAATACACTTTCAATCAAACATAATTCGTGAAATAACAATACAAATCGATTTCGTAAGCTCTCTTTGCTCGTTACTTAGCCATTATATATTCACTACGATATTATTTTTTTTAGGTAGATGTAATTTATATGCAGAGTTGAAAATTCGGCTGATTGATGATAACAAAAACAAATGTCGGTGGTGATGATGAAAATGAAAATATGCTCATGTTAATATAACTGATACAAAAAACTTATATAAGTATACGGGAGTTACCAAATATAATGATGGATGTTCTTTAGAAATATGGGAATAATATTGAATAGTAATTTAGCACTAGGAAAGGTCAAACATTGTACTCTGATAGAAATGATTTCTTCATATTGAAGTTTGAATGGATTAAGGGTTTAACATGATTTGATAAAGCCTGGGAGTGCATGCCATGAATCTAGACCATGATGTCTTATTGATTTATGCAGGATCAATAATGGAGTATTCATCAAATGAAAGTTTAATGAATCCCAGTAGATAATTTTTGTTGTTGGCTTTTATAGTGTTTCCCCATCGTCGTTTGATAATTTCCGCCAATATTTTTTGGTAAGTATCGTTAGAGTTATTTCACACCAATTTTGTTTAAGTGAATCATGAAGGTTATTCATGTATTTAAACATAAAAATCAGACTTTGTTGTGCGTTAATATTATACAAATGTCAATGTTTTAAATGCATTTAATATGGGTTTGTATGGGCTGAATAATTTATTTATTTATTTATTTTACATAATTCTACTCCGTCCAGACGTTTTATATCCTGCACGAATAATATACAAGCAAATCTTAAAATCCACAAGTATGATTGTTTTCTACGCGTAGATCCTGAGAAATCGTTTGAAATCTCAAACTATAAAGGAAAATGCATTATTTCCATTCTGTCACAAATCCCCTGAGTAGTCAATAGACTTGTGGAGTGATTAATATTCTAAAGAACGCTCCTTTGATTAAAAACACGTTGCGCAATTCTCTAAGGCTGTTTTTGTTTAAAGACCAAAATTGACACAGGTGCAAAGCATGCTTAACATGTGATTGCTTCTGAGCATGAATTGAAATTTGATTCGAGTAAAAATCACCATCTTCAAGAAATGGTTAATCCCATGACGAGCATTTGTGTCCTTGCTGTATAATAACAGCCTGATGGCGTTCGTTTGTGCATCGTGACTTTGACGCCATACATCTTCTTTGTTCGATTCCCTTGCCGCAAACATATTCTTTTTGCGTACTTTTTCAACCCCTTGTTGCATTTTCTTCTTATTTAATGTCCGATAGCCGAAGGGATTTAAGGTTTAACGCCGAGAGAAATGTCCTAATTGGCGATATCAATTCATTATTGAATCTCCGTAGAAATTGAGTTCGGATTACAACTAAAAACTTATTTTTTTCTTTCGCTGTAATTATCGCAATAATCTATATATATATTGCAATTTACTATGTCTAGGAGAATTTCGAATTTGTTTTTCGGTTTATTGTTTTTTCTTTCTTATGTCTGTTACATGTACTTTTCTCTAAGCGCCATGAGCACCGAAAGGTGGACATGTGCGCTATACAAGTAGCCACTATTATTATTATTATTATTATAATAATGTTTGGATATTTGCGAAGCACATAATATTATAGACAATGAATGCAAGAACAAGCCCCCCCCCCCCCCCCACCCCAGCCCAACAGCCTCTTTCCCTCCCAATTATTTTTTTAGAATCACGTCTGCTTCAATTCTAAATTATTTCACAGGGGAAGGAACACATTAAAAATTATGTAAAGGTGCTCCCCTTCCACTTCGCCAAACTGAATCCAAACCGACTCCAAAGCGACTGATACTTGGCCATTCGGGCTAATGTTTCTTTCTTCTTTTTTTGGACGGGGCGGTCAGGGCCCCCTAACAGTATGCTTAGCAGTTGATTGTGCGATTGATTAGTTGTATATAGTGATCAAAAAGTTAAAAATAATAATCAACCGCTAACTTATCGTTGTGTGACGGTTTCGGTTGCCCACTTGCTATCATTTCACGAAACCGTCATATCTGTCTCCTTTATGTTACTCGAATTTTACTACATGCACAGTAACGATAGCGTTTAATGTGATGAAGTTTGCTTTAATTTGACCTTGCTCTACGATATTCCTACGCGGGAACTCTATTGTATGCTAACGCTTGATGGCGAGTCGAGTGCTATTAGGGTTTTTGTTTGCACCGAACTCTCAGGAGAACAGAAAGCAAATGTTTCAACGATCGGTTGATTCGGGTAAAAATTCATTAATATTCCATAGTCGAGGTTTGTAACGTTTTGGGAGTCAAACATCATTGCTACATGAAGTCACGAACACTTTGGAAGTACATGTAAGGCCTGGGGATTACCGTTTTGTTAATTATGAGACATACATACAACAAATGCCTTGCCATTCAAACCGCAAAGCAGAAGAGTTTATACAAGCCACTTTTTATTCCCTGCCCAAATAATTGAGCAAACGCTTGCTTGTAGTTGTTGTTGGATTTTATGGCGTTTCCATCGTCGTTGGATGATTTTTGCGGTCACGTGTGGTGCATTTACTGAGATTATCACGCGGTTTTTTGTTAACCCCCCCCCCCCCCGCCCCTGACAAGTTTCAGTACTATCCAACGATTTGATAGTACGCGATGCGCACAGCAGAAACCACACGAAACATTGTTGAAATTCTGAATACATCAAATTACATGATCTAGGAGATTCGTTGTATAAAACAAATGATGCATTCATTCATTTTTTCATAACAAGATCCGATTCTGTTGTGGCTGTTTATGCACCTATCATACCTATCATATCAATTTCCCGATGAATATCACACAAGTGCGCTCGAAAATTCAACGCCTTTAGAATATACAGTGATTGTGCCCTTATTTTTCGCCATTCTGAAATAGGGAGAGTTTCATTTAAAAAACAATCTGAATTGAAAGTTATTGTTATTAATATCACCAATACATATTGATAGTAAGCATTGTATGTGGGGAAAACAATATTAAGTGGGCTAGATGAAGAGCAATACTAAAGAGTAATGTTACTACTTAATTGTCATTTTTTTAAAATTGTGAGATTGCCTCACTTAAAAAATAAAACATTAAAATGTATTCGATGAAAATTTTATTTCCGACATGTAATACATTTGCGCCCCGACAATAGAACGACAACATATTTTATTAATCCAAAGGCCAGGAATTAGTTGGTCTGAAATCAATTTAGAGGTTTTTTTTCGGCGGTTTGACTGAAGACCTGGGATCCGTTACACAAAGCCTTTTGTCAACGACAAATGACAAATATCAGTGACAAATCTGCTGATAACCAGTCAGAATCAAGAGTTTCAGTAGCTTATAACAACAACTGTCATTTGTCACTCATGACAAGTTTTGTGAAAACCCCCCTGAACTGGTTTGATACCTGAATAACGTTCCAATATTTGACTGTCTCACAGAGGATTCCCGAATCTTCCGAGTAGAAGCTGCCAATCAGGAATGATTTGGGAGGACCGTTGTAGAGGCTCTGGTAGAAAGCGGACGCAGCGAGGCCCTGGTTCGGCTTACCAGGGTTGGTTGGCTGTGGAAAGAAAGATAAAATAGAGAATGCAGAATTAAGATAACTTGTTCTTTTTTTACATTTGATATCGTTTGTATAATATAATCTCTCAGTTAAATCAGTACTCTATATTAACCACTTATTTTTATGTTATTTATTATGTTTTATTGATTGTTATTTCATCACCACAAAAAGTACTCTGTTTTGAAATGTATGTGTAACATGAGAAATATGAAAATGATTAAATGATATAATGTTCTGTCCACCAGCCATATGTTGCTATCAATGTGGATGTGACGTAGTGTAGTGGTTCGTTCACTGGCCTCTCAATCCTGGGGTAGAGGATTCGAATCTCAGACCAGCACTAACGTATTTTGGCAAGACATTAATCCACATTTGACACTCTCCTCCCTGTTGGAAATGAGTACCTAGCAATTGCTGGGGTAGTAATAATTCCAGGGCCCCCTGGAAGCACAGCATTAAAGTTGATGAGGCTTCCCTGGGTAAACACATTATTAATATTATTATCATTGTTATTAGTGTTATTACTATTGTTATGATTATATAAATAATCTTTATTATCCTCAATATTATTATCATATTTAATAATTTACATAGATATATAATTATGCTTACATTATATTACAATATGTATAAGCATGATACTGTCAAAAAAAGAAGACATTTCTAATATTTGATTAATGAAGAAAATATCGTAAGTAATGGTATCACCTATCGGTTGTGACACAAAAGGATAGTCTGCTTAGTGATTAGGGCATATTATTTGCTTTAGAAGCCTTATTTGTTTAAAATAAATATCCGAAATTTTTATTACGAGGCATTATAGATACGCTTAACGAAACCATACTTTATTCATGCGTGTTGGTTTGTTTGCTTGCTTTATATATTCCGCAATATCTGTGTGAACCGAACATCTTAAATGTTGTATCAAACTGATTTTTCAGAGTTGGTAGCGCATTTTACACAAGCTTTGATCTCCATTAATGTATTGAAATTGAAACTTAGGAATTACACTCTGCAAACAATTTTCAAGTATGACTGGGTGTTCTATGTCTGCTCACCCAACATTTGACCTGAAATAATGTTTTTCTTTTATATTTCTCTAATGCTCAAGCTGATATTATCCCTCATATTCTAAAAAGGACGTGTCCCAAAATCCCGTCAGTCAAGGCAAGAGCGATGTGATTGTTTACCAAAATGAAAGAGTGCCAACCAAATGTGTCCAACCAACTGGGTAAATTAAAGATTTTGCATGATTTACCCAGTGTTGGATGAAAAGGAAATACCCAATCTTTAACCAACAAAAACTTACCCAATCAGAAATTTACCAAATTCTCACCATAATGTGTAGCATAAGTTACACACTAGTTGGGCAAATAAGTTGGACAAAATATTATATGCAAAAGGAGATTAGTGCCGCAGCGAGACTCGAACCGCGGACCTCGTAATCCATAGTCCTGTGACTTTTGTTGAATGATAATGTTGCCCGACTTACGTTTGCCCAGTTACATCCGCCCAACTTATTTCGAACATTTAATTGGGTAAATACATGTAGTAAATGGTTGGGAGAAAAATGGCCCAACTCTAATTTGTACAATGACATTACCCAACCTATTTTTTTACCTTTTATTGGGTAACTTCATACAGTAAACTGCTGGGAGAAAATAAACCAATTATCGGACAAAATTTGCCCAACTTCGATTTACTCAGTAACATCTGCCCAACTTTTGTTTACAGTGTATATAGTTTTTACCAAATTTTTGAATGAGTACTTATTGATATGATAAAGATGAACTTTCTTGTGGGTGGCGTGTTTTGTTTTTGTTTTATCAGAACATACAGAATGAGCAAGGACGCTGCGCAGGCATGCATGGGCACTCTAGCCGCACATCCCTTTACCTCATCCTAATTTGAGATGCATATCATTTACATTTCTGATTTTACTGATCACCATGAGCAGCTTTAAGTCGCCATTTATCCTAAATCCATTTCATAAGAGTCGCACAATTTACATTTACATTACATTTTGAAAAGAAGAAACGTTTTGTACTGAACTGGAAATGAACGATTTTTTTATTTAAAACGTTCAAAGAGATATGCCCAAAATCTATTAAATTGCATGTTGCAAATCGTGCGTAATGGGAATCGCTAGAAATCACCGAAAGCTTGTTTACAATAATAAAAAAAAATAGTTGTGATGAGCTACTGGAATTCTTACATTTTAATGGCTGAAGACAGATTTGCGTCAGATCTGTGGCAGTCATTATGGATAACATTTTTTTTAACAAAAATGATTTTCATCACTGACCACCTTGTAATGCAATTAATAAAAGGCCTAAGGTGGATGGAACTTGAAATCGTATTTTTCTGTCTAGTTTGGAATTCGATTACTTCGTTAAAAATGATGAGTGCAAGAAAACTCGTTGCCAACTTCATAACGGGGAGTTCAAGGAGTGGTGATTGTCGGATTAATGGCTCTCACGCTTTCTGAAACCACTCTAAAAAAAACACTACATTGGCGAAACGCTCTTGAAAACAACATTATAGCTACGGCCATAAAGACCATTAACATCTGTTCGACCTCCTCTAGAGGATTGTAACGCCGGAGTGAGGTTCCTTAAGTAACGAGGAAAGATATCGCAGATATTAAGAAGGGATGATATTATCGGTTTCGCCTTGATCTTTTGTAGTTTGGAATGAAGAGATGAAGCGATGCACTCACCTACCGACATGGCCAATAGTAATTTAATTGAAAACAACGAGGTGTTTCTTGAACATGTTAAAGAAAAACGTGAAAAGCGTATCTCGTACAGGCATGAATAACAATCGTGAAATGGAAAAGTACATTCTGATTAATACAGTGTGTGTAAGAGGGTGTGCGTGCGAGTGTGCATGTGTGTTTCTTTGTGTGTGTGTGCGTGTGTGTGTGTGTGTGTGCGTGTCACTGGTGCATCCATAGGGGGCATTACAACAAACACGCTACAATCCGAGTGTTGTCTCTTCATTGGGGGAGGGGGGCATATTCTGGTTCCATTCTCCGTTCCACTTTGTGGATGGAGGACGCTGAAGATGACATATAACGAACGAGCGTGTTTATGAAATGCTATCAAGCAAAGCTAGTACAGTCCAAACTACAAGCACATATTGAGGATTTTCATGCACATAATGAGGAAAAGAAAAGGAGATGGGGACAGTTTATAAAATAATTTAATTTGACTATACATAGCGTAGCAGTACCAGTAAGTACTAGCGACAAAAGTTAAGTCTATTTGAAAGCTTTCTATTTCTTCTTCTTCTTCTTCTTCTTCTTCTTCTTCTTCTTCTCCTTTTCCTTCTCCTTCTGTTCCGCCAAATTGTAGTAAAGCATGGGATCGTTTCTCTGAAATATCATCTTTTTCATCATCTTTCCCTCACATGGCCACACATAAATCTTTATTGAAATACAAGAGATATATGATATCTCGTCGCATTGAACTAAAATTCCTGACACATTAACCGGTATTCAAAGGAAAAAATAACGCTTTACCGTTTCACCAAGAAAAAAATGGAAGCAAATAACCTGCAAGCATTTCTCACGACCAATACGACTTGAAAAGCATAGTTTTTATACAAATATTGCAAATGTTCTGTAGAATAGCATGAAGCAGCCAGTGAATAAAGGATTGTGTCACTCGACATTTAATTGGCCAAGTTGCAGAATTTATCCCTTACTATGATTAAACATTGATATTCACATTCTTAAGCATCGTTCAGATAAGAAATTGGGAAACCGCGGTGTTTGAAAATTTGTTTTAAATATTGACACAAATGTAATGTGCTTCAATTTATTGTCTTATTATAATATAGAGCTAAGGTACTCGCAATAATGAACTGAGTCACTCGACAGTGAGTTGGCCTAGTTGCAGTATATGTATTCCTTTACTATGATTGAACTTTGATATTCACATTCTCAAATACCGTTCAGATAAGAAGTGGCCGCGTTCTTGTAACTACTAAAGGGCTTATTTTAAGATTTCCCACTAGAAACAAACTTTTACTATAAACAATAAAATAACTCACATACCTAAATACTCTTGTTTCAATCCGCATTCTATGAAATATGCATCATCAATCTACATGTTAAATTTGGAAATGCATTTACTTGTAACTTGTTGATACATTTATGACATTTGATAGTACATGTATACACTGTTTAGACCTTTTGACCTAAATAAAAGTATGCTATCTGTGGATAACCGCATTATCAAAAAATTATATTTATATTAAAATCACGCAGAAATATGAAGGAAAACAAATCAAATCAGAATTAAACCATTATACCAATAAGGGGTAGCCGCTCATGATATACATAACTCGATGATAGTTGTAAGCGTCCGTTATGTCATGCAACAGCAATGAATTTATCACAGACCCAATGGTGTTGCACCCAACGAGTATAACAATAATATACCTTCTCTATAAAGTTTGTTGTTGTTCCATTTAAGGGGATTTCATATAATTAGTACCTCCAAATACATTCAGATACACCTATCAATCAAACCACAATATTCTGCACGCAGATAGAAAATGTAAACTACGACACGTTTTTCATTTAAATCAAATTTAATCAGCAAATTTATAGTTCTATTTCCTGAGCTTACATTTAATTTCACGAAACCATTGTGAATACCCAGGTTATTTTTTATAAAAATCCAATTAGATATGGCAACATGAATAACAAAATGTCATCATTATTTGCTGTCTCTCTTGGCGAAATCGCAATTCTGTCACATTTTCCCCCACACAGCACGTTAACACGTCGAGTTAATCTACGAATCGTGAAGGTAATTATATTATATGAATATACATATTATTGGGCAATGTCATCGCATCATTAAATTTCAATCAAACTTTGAATCCATGGTTGACATTTTGCAACTGACTACAAACCGCTGTGTTTTCTCGTTGCCATGACAAATAATATCAGCAGATTATTTAGAGGGAGAAAGGGTAAGACAGAC